TTCTGATCCGTATAGAAGAACTCACTCACTTGACGTTTGTATAGAAAATCCGACCGAATTTTGTTGTTGATGCTGGCTGAGTGACGAAGATCTCCTTATTGGTTTCAGATTGATGAATGTGTTTCTCGCCTTTCGGATTCTCACTCGATTTGACATCCTCGTCCGTTCCGACTTCCTGTAGTTGAGACAATGCTCCCTAGATCAGTGAGTGAATGAAGTAACCTCTTTTAAATCCCTCCCGTTGATGGTGATTGACGCTGGATGTTGCTGCTGTTTTTGTTGTTGTTGGCTGGTTATTTACATAACTTCCGTCTTGTCTATGTTCAACTGGAGTCCTGTCTTCGCCGGCTGCTTCTTCGATCAGTTTGTCGGTTTTCGCTTGTAAGTCTTCGATTTTGTGACAGTGACATCAAACATAAATCATCCAAGCGAAATCCAGGTCTTCTAGGTTCTTCACGTCGGTCCAGGATATTCCTGTCTTCTCGTTTCCCACTGTCTGACGCATAATCCAGTCCACCACAATTAGGAATATCATTGGTGATAATAGCAGGCACCCTTGTCTGACTCCTGTGTTTACTCCAAACGCCTTGCTGAGTTTTCCGTTGTGGATCACTTGACATGTGCCGTTGTCGTACAGCTGTTGAATAAGGTTGATGAATATTTGAAGTACGCCTTAGTACTCGAGTAGTTTCCAAATTACTTCGCGGTCAACGATGTCTGTCGAAGGCCTTCTCAAAGTCTATAAAGTTGAAGTAGAGGTTTGATTGCCATTCCATGCTTTGTTCTGTGATGATGATGCGTAGAGTTGCAATTTGGTCAGTACATGATTTGCCTGACTTTCCTGAATCCAGCTTGTTCTGGTCGGAGTTCTGCATCCAGTGTGTCCTTTATTCTCTCCAGGATGATGCGACTCAGGATTTTACTTGGCGTCGACAGGAGCATGATTCCTCGCCAGTTCTTGCAGAGTGAGTGTAAGTCGCCCTTCTTTGGTAGTTTCACGAGGTAACCTTTCCTCCAGTCAGTAGGCACCTTTCCCTCCTTCCAGACCTTTTGCAATAATGGAGTCAGTCAGCATATCTGCTGTCGTCTCTGGGTCAGTTTTCAGTGCTTCAGGGGCTATCCATCTGGTCCAGCTGCTTTTCCAGCTTTCAGAAGCTTGATTGCATTCAAGACTTCAGCTCTCGTTGGAGGATTGGTGTCAACTTGCAGTTGTGTACGTGCTGTTGTTGGTATTTCTGGACGGGTTGCAGGTGATGGTCGGTTCAAGAGTCCTTTGAAGTGATCCGCCCATTGTTTAATCTGTTTTTCTTCCTTGGTAATTGGCTTCCCTTGGCTGTCTTTTATAGGTTTCGCTTGTGTTGATCTCTTCCCGGATAGAGATTTGGTTATCTGATATAATGTCCTCAGGTCTCTTTTGCCTGCTGCCTTCTCAGCTTCAGTGGCCAGATTGTCGTAGAATCGTGTTTTGTCCTTCCTAGCACTCTTCTTCACTTCTTTGTCCAGTGCTGTGTAAGTTGAGCTCAGTATCTCTTTCACCTGTCCGTCCTTGCATTGAATCATTTTTCTCATTCTCCTCTTCTTATTAGCTTCCAAGTGTCCGTTGAGAGCCATTCCTTGTCTTGTCTCTTCTTTCTTCCTAGAACCGTTGAACACGTTTCGTTGAGAATCGCCTTCAGAGACTTCCAATGTTCTTCCACGCATGATTCTTCAGTGATGTCGCGTAGTGTTTCCTGCTTTGCTCTGACAGTTGCAGTGAAAGTGTCCTTTGTGGTTGTGTCCTTCAGTTTCTGAGTGTTGAACTTGCATTGTGGCCTATCCCCAGCTATCCTCGAGGCTTTTAGTTTCACCTTGAAAGTCCCTTGTACTAGATAGTGGTCTGAACCCACATCTGCTCCTCTCCTTGACCTTGTGTCCAGTAGGCTCCGTCTCCACTTTCTTGAAATTGAGATGAAGTCTATTTGGTTTTGGTGTTTCCATCTGGTGAAATCCATGTCGCCTTGTGTATATCCTTGTGTTTGAACACACTGCCACAAATCACCAAATCATTGAAGGCGCAGAAGTCTGAGAAGAGTTCACCATTGTCGTTCATTTCACCGAGGGCCTCACGACCCATGGTGAGTTCTCTTCCTGTGTTGTCGCCTCCCAGCTTCGCATTCACATCACCCATCAGGATTTTGATATCGCCATTTGGGACGTTGTCCATTACTGTTTGTAGTTGTCTGTAGAACGCCTCCTTCTTCTTTTGTTCTGAGACGTTTGTAGGCACATAGCATTGAATGACTGTAATCTTCTTTCCTTTTGAGTTGAACCTGGCTGTCATTATCCTGGAGGAGATTGGTTCCCACTGCATGAGAGCTTTGGCTTCTGTTGGTGACATCATGATGGCCACTTCATTGGTGTGCTCGTGATTGTCCTCTGGGTGACCAGATTATTGTCTCCCCAGTTGGTAGTTGGCACCTTCCAGTTCCGTTCCATCTGCTTTCGCAGATTCCCAACACTTCTATTCTGTACCTTCTCATTTCAGCGGCTATCTGGGCAGCCTTTCCAGTTTCGTACATTGTACGAACATTCCAGGTACCCATCCTTACTTTTGCTTTCATCGAAAGAAGGCACATCGGCTGACTGGCTTCCCGAAGGCTTTCACCAGCCTGCGTCATTTCACTTCCCCGATTCCAGCGAAAAGTAAGGCTATTGCTTATGTTTTTAGAATTTTTAATATATTTATTCGTTGAAGTTTCTGTAGCGATTTGGTTGTTTTACAGGGGTGGAGTTGCTAGCACCACGCCCCAACCCTCCCTCTTTACCCGGGCTTGGGACTGGCAAGAAAACTAGCGAGCTAGTAATCTAGGCGAGGTTCCTCTAACTGATGAAATCCAGTAACAAATCAAATCAGACCCCTGAAAAACAACACCTGAATTTCGGAATATCCTCTTATATTTCTTCTATAATTACAAAAGCCCTGTCGTCTCCTGAATGATATTTGCAACCATACAATTTAGTGAGTAATCATTATGCCTCAAACTGACAGTGTGTCACTGATAAACATATTAAGTGAGTACCTGATCTAGCCTCCTCTTTATTGGGTACTGAATAAAGTCTACAGAAATTTAGATCCTTGTAGGTAAGTTTATCAGTGCCACCAAACCACTTCCGCTTACTCAGAATCACTTCAAACATCTATTTTTTTTACGCCCCATCTCTACAGATAAGCATATTTGGTTGCCATGGTGGCCAAGTATAACGGATGTGTCACAAATTTACCCGTTTTCAAAGAACGATCTGCCAAAAAACCTTTGCCCCAGACTACGGATATACACACTCAAAAGTCATGCATAAGAATTTTTTTCTTAACTTTTCGGAAGTGTTGATCCTCTTTTTGTAAAAATATTTTCTAAACTACATAAAGACATACGATATCAGCTGTCTTTGAGAAAAACGCATTATTATTTATGAAACCGGGTCACTTGGTGATGCAATCAGGGAAGTAATTTATTCTCACCCAAACAAACATGCAAGTGATTATGCTACTGCGCAAGGTAAACAATTATTGATCATGAAATTATTTATTGATACCCAATTAGTTGAATTCAGTGAAAGTATTCGTAACTCATACTCAGGGTTTTAGGCACTTGTATGTTATGGATGTGAATAATAGCAAAACCACCATCGAACTGTCTCTAATTCACTATCTGTTTTACTCAGTGGCTAAATAGAAATTCTGATGCTATACAATTACGATAATATGAATGTTATATAGTGCCTTTCTCAGAATTTTCATACATTTATTCCCCTTGGTGAATTTCAATACGGCAAAAACAACAACTGTGCAGAATAAAGTGGTATCATCGTGCATTTCGTTGGCTTCTTATCAGCTGCTTACAACCTAAACACATTATTAAGTTCATGTACATAAACGATTTCAGCTTACTTACACAGAAAGTCCATCTCTGAACAAAATCAATATATGCATACAATATTATTAACAGTACTCACCTTATCCTAAACAATAATAAACATACAGAATGGAATTTATCGCTTTCGTTAATGAAATGAAAGAGAGGATTACAGCATCCAACTATCAGGCTAAGGAAAGACTGATAACTGCCTCTTTCTGACACATAAATCGGGTTTCAGCTGCTTGATAGAGATCACTTCTGAAAAATTGAGGAGAAATGAACTCTTTTGAATATTGAAAATCTTGACCAATCTTACGACGTCCACCTTATGACCAGTGTCAAGCAGATGCCTGGCAATGGCACTTTTGAAAGCACATCTTCCCTTGATTCTCCACATCATCCACAATTGTTAATGAACCTCTGAGAGTAACCGTTGTTTTCCGACATCTTTACGAGAATCGAAAAATCCTCCTGAAACCTGATTTATGTGTCAGAAGGAAGCAGTTATCAGTCTTTCCTTGGCCTGACAGCTAGATGTTTTAGTCCTCTCTTTCATGTCATTATGCAACGCGAGAAACTCCATTCTGCATGTTTATTATTGTTCAGGATAGGGTGAGCACTGTTATCACCATTGTATGCATATATTGATTTTGTTTAGAGATAGACTTTCTGTGTAAGTAAGTTGAAATGGTTTATGTACATGAACTGATGAGAAGCCAACGAAATGAATGATGATACCATTTCATTCTGCACAAACTGTTGTTCTTGCTGCATTCAACTTTCTGAGAATATTTTTGAGTTGAATAATAGTTTCTTATCAGCTAATTAAAACTGAAAATGAAATAGTGTTTCTGCTACTCATTCACTTGACCTGTACTAACTACCTGTAAACTGAGACTGATATTTTCTGTTTATGTAAACAGACTGTAAAATATTGATTGTGAATTATTTCTTTCTGTGGTCTGATGATTATATCAGTCTGGTCAATATAATGACCTGATAACCCATATATATATATATATATATATATATATATATATATATATATATATATATATATATAAACTAACCGTGGTTTCTATAAGCTTCGTTTGTCTTCTTGAAATGCGTGGATTAAGACGATCAGATATACTGGTAGTAAGATGTTATATGGAGGATGAAATGAAAAGATATGCCGTTGACTTGCTTAGAACAGCAATGAATGAATTCGATGGTGAACGAGAAGTGGCATGCTTTATTAAGAATAAATTTGATTCTCGTTATCGTACCTACTGGCATTGTATTGTTGGCAAACATTTTGACTGGTAAGATTTTGAATTATAGAAGTTTCTAGAAATAATATAAATTTTTTATAGTTCTATAGAATTTGAACCAACTCGGTTTATTTATTTAAAAGCAAAAGACTTTTCAGTTGTCCTTTACAGATATAGCTGAAAATACAAGTTTTGTGAAGCAAGTTGAGTTGATATCTGAACTAAATGTCTTTCATGGTAGTCTTTTTATATACTTCAATGCACAGTATGTACAAATTCTCTTCCAAAGATTATAAATAACTGGACAGGTGTTAAAGCCCTCACATCTATCATATTAAGTATTTTCATTATTAACTGTAATTAACATTGCTATCATCAGGTTTAGATATTTCAGTTTTCATCTTTAAGCACATCATTCAGTTTTCTCAAATGTATTTACTTAACATTAATGTACAGATATAAGTTGTCTGTTAACATGTAATTTGCTAAAATGTAGCATCATTTGTGTATGCATTATGATAATTAGGTGATGTTGTATCTTCGAGGCATATTTTCATTAAAACTGATCATCCAATACAAAACATGGTGAGGTTAAACTAAAACAGCTACCCCGATTGACTTTAACACTGGCTTTCACCAACTAATCAGAACTGAGTGATGACAAAAGTTATAAAACTGTTGAAAAGATACCTATAGATTGTTGTGTCCTGAGGTCAATTCATATTTCTGATTCTATGCTTAAATGAGCTCCAGAAGTCCCAACCATCCTTAAAGACCAGCTATCTTGTCAGCCTCCCCTAGTATATGTGTGTCGAAGTTCAATAAATCCATTATCGATCTTTCTGGAACCCGTTAAACAAATCTAGAACACAAGGCATAATTTTGTTTGGTTATACAATCTATCAGTTCAGTTGGTTGACAACAATCTTATAACGCAGTGGCTGCTATTTTTTCAAGTTTAATTCGTTGTGCTATATATTTGTACGATGTATATTGATTGAAATCGAAGCATTTACATGGCAGCGGTGGGAATAAAACTAGTAAACCGGCTTGGCGGCTGTGTTTGCCAGACCCTGTTGAGCTTCCACTATTACATGTTAAAAGAATTCAGATCAGTCAACCTAACTAAACCTGAAAAGACTCTGAACCAACACCCAAACCAAGCTTTATGTTATTTTGTGTCCAAGAAACAAACAAACAGAAAAGATCAGTGATACAAGAAACAAATACAATATCGGTAAAGAAATAAGGGAATCATAAAGCTATTAGAAAAGTTTTAGACTGTCCACAGCTTACTTTTGTCCACTAACACCTGGTACAATCTTTGGAAATCTCAATAATTTCATGTCAGTTTATATTCTTATGACTACGGCAGCATCCATTGGCACTATGACTACGATGTAAATGATAAGCCTAGATACCTAATAACCACTCAAGCGAACCGATAAGTATCCTTCCACATAATGATCCAAGAATGGAATTCAGGTACTGTGACTGAATATAATACCACATAACGCGCATTCACAGGAAACCCATTAAGTGTTGGTTCCGAGTGGATTTTTAAAGAAGAAAGCAAAGCAGGTTCAGCAGAAGCTGAAATCTACATAGCAAGTGTATTTTTATAATTCACCATATTATACAGAAGAATAAGAATCTTACATTCAGTACTTCAATATCATTTGCAGGAAAGTATTACTAACATAATTCTTGAGCAATTACAGGAATCGATTAGATCAGTAAATAAAATGAGATTGCTTGTCAAGCTCAAGTTTTCAATGATACAGAACCTGAAAATGGATGATTTACCCCAAATGAACGAATCTGATGATATTTCAGAGGAATATGAATACCTTTAACAGAATATTTTCTGGAAAGCTTAGGTGTGATGGCAGACGTTTTTCAAAGTAGAAAGGTGGCTCAAACTTTATAGGCATTATTAGTTTGGCAGGATTGACAATATGTCCCAGACATCTTAATAGATTGTTATATATATATATATCTTCTAAGTGGTCCGGAGCTATAATTCCAGTCGATTAATTCAACTACTACTTTGGAGTTACGCTCAAAATTCGAAACACACGGTTTGTCTAAACTACTGTACTACATTGTCTATATAAAATAATGAACATAATATGCAAAACTCAAATTTTTAGTTGTTTATGGCTGAATACCATCAAATGCGCTATCACCGTGCGTCAATAGGAAAAATCTGCAAAGTAGTGTCAAGGGTGATCCAAGTCCAGATTAAACACCACACGAATGCTCAGATAAGGAAAAAAAGGGATTAGAACTCAAAAATGACAACAATAATGGCTTTATTCTGATGAATGCATCTAGATACATTGGAGAATTTTCAGCAAGTTTCTTAGCAAGGTATTTAATCCTTGTTCAGAGCCTTCAAATATTATAATAACCAATAATATATCGTTGGAAGCGTTTACTAATACTATTCCTTATTGTTCTTCCTCCATTTCCTCTGGAATTTCCCTAGCTATAGATAGAAACTTACTTGAGATTAGTGACGAGTAAAAATTGCTAGCCACCTTGGTAATTAGAAACGCCGTAAATACAATACATTATGATGAACGGAAAATTTAGGTAGCCCAGTGAATTATGCAGGCCGCCTTAACATTAGGTAAATAAACAATGTCCAACAAAAAGTGGAACGTAAATAAAGCATGTCACATTTAACCATATTAAGGCAATTACTAAAGAGTGAACAGAATGTTTATACATTAAAAATGAGATAAAATACAATAGCAAACAATAGTTATGATTACGCTGTACCGATGTAGTAAACTGAATATAATTTATACTGCTTACTAAAGACAAGTAGTATAAAGTTGAAAGCAAAGAATGTGTGAAGAAGGAATATATCTACCACTTTATCCCTCCTTCAACAAAAGGCCTTTTACTGTGCATCCGTACTGTCTGTTTACTGTGTTACTAGAAATAGGTGTTTCAGTGTTTTGGAAGCCAAATTTCATATGTACATTGTAGCCTATACTCCTGAGAGTCATGAAGTTCACACTATGTATTTGCAATTCATTTGTGGACTAATGAATACTCAAATTATCAAGTATAATGCTGTGATACTAGCCTCTGACTACTTCAGTGGCCTCGTGGATAAGTACTTATGAGTTTGAAACGACATATGCAGGATTTCTGTGATAAAACTATCACTTAAAGGAGTTGCAAGTACATCAGACTGATGAGTGGAGAACAGAACGAAATGAGTGTCTTGAATTCTGCTACAAGATACCATCAATCTAATTTCGCTTTCTCATTTCTGAACCCCTGTTCTTCTTCCATGTGTCATCGAAAATTAAAATACGTGCTAAAACGAATGAAATTCGTAATTCAGATAAACGATATCCTTCCTCTAAATCACAGAATGGTTAACCACACTGCTTAAACATATATATGCAAACCAACCCTTGAAATAATGTCAGTAAAAAGTTCTCGCATTATGAAATACATCAAATAAAATACGTATCATTGTGTATGAATTACTGAATTATAGCTTTCATTTACATAAACGCTTCAAAGTATATAGGAACGTATTTGTCTTCAGTGAAATATCCTAGTAAATATGAATGATCTTGAGAAGTTTCTTGAGGGCTATTGCACTTAGCGATGTATAGGTCTCGTCGGTCAACTGTGTTTAGTCATTTCTTTCAAATAAGCATAGGCAGAAATATTTTTTAACATCTTTTACTAACTACTAACAAATTATTAAGTATTAGGTTTCCTGAAATAATAATACAAATGAATTTTATAATCTTTCAGGGGGTATATGAGTAACATTCAAAGGATCAGCTTAAAACATAGAATTTCAGCATAATTCATAAACTGAATGATATAAATTCATGGTGAAATACACAGTGACATTGGCACCTATGAAAACAAACAACAATCAACAGAATGCAACATTTAGTCATTAAAGGTATCGTATGAAATGATGTGAATATTATTGATAATAATGACAGGAACCATTGTGTATGATATATTTCTGATATGCCTATATCTTCAGGCAGATTTCATGAAGAAATGGACATCAGTTAGAGGTACAGTGAAAATGAGAGAGTATTAGATATCTGTTTTCACTCATGATCAGATTAAGGGTATGGAACCTTAGATATAATGGAGAAGATATCTACCACAGATGGATGATTTTCATGTAGTCGTGTTCTCTGAGTAGCATAGTTTATTTGAGAAACTTTCACTACCCTACAAAGCAACACTGAAGTCTGCACTGAAGATGACGCCTAGTAGGTCGATGGAAGATTCGCAAATAAACCATCCAGCTCAGAGAGCAAAACTATATCAAAAGGATGGAACCTTGTTTTATCACATTTATTGCCAATATTCACATTTGAAATCTGTTTACTTTTAAAGAAAACGATTGTAATATATCAGTCTCATAACAGAGTGAATGCGTTCCAGTTGTAGTAAGTCAATGTACCACGTGGTCAGAACCAAAAACTCAAGTAAACTTTGTCATATTCTTGGTGGGAGTGAAATTAAGGGGCTTAACATTATTATAGGTTAAAACGATACAGGCTACCAAAAATATTGTTTTCGTAACTTCACTTCGAATCTGTACAGTCACATAGTGTACTAAAATGTCGTGATAATCACTATAAAGTTGACCTGATAACATGAGCCGATAGTAAAACATGAAATTATCTAATATGAAAAACTGTGAATGAACTACAAAATAACTACTATGGAAACTGGAACAACAACTACTACAGAAAGGATTAAACTAAAACACTGAAGACGCCTCGATAACTGATTTCTTCTATACCCTTCAGTCACCACTTAAATCATCTAACTTAAACGAGAAAGTACAAGAAAAGATACGCCAAACAAACTTACCAATAGTCAAAAAGAAAAAAACAATACACACAACTCAACTCACAAGAAGAAAAGGCCTTCTAAGAGTTGAGAAATAGGAAGGAGATCATCATACTACCAGCTGACAAGAGAATAAACACAGTAGTCATGGAAAAAGAAGAATATACCAAGAAAGCTGAAGAACTACTCAAAGAT